CTTGAAGCAGATAGAGCCACCCAGCTGGGGTAGGTGGTGGTTTGAATGCGAATGGCCCCTGCAGGCTCATATATTTGAACACTTGGTCCCCAGTCCATGGAACTGTCTGGGAAGGATTAGGAGGTGTGGCCTTGTGGGAAGAGCTCTCTCTCTCTCTCTCTCTCTCTCTCTCTCTCTCTCTTTCTCTCTCTCTCTCTCTCTCTCTCCTCCTACTTGTGTACCAGATATAAGCTCTCTGCTACAGCTACAGCTCCTGCCTGCCTGTCACCATGCTCCCCACCAAGATGGCCATGGCCATGTACTCTAACTTTCTGGAACTATGAGCTCCTAACTATACACTTTCTTTTATAAGTTGTCTTGGTCATGATGTCTATGTTGGTCAGAGTTCTCTAGAGGAACACAACTTATAGAATGAATCAATCTATCTATATCTAGATAGATAGATAGATAGATAGATAGATAGATAGATAGATAGATAGATAGATGATAGATAGATAGATAATAAATAGATGATAGATAATTGATAGATATAGATAGATAGATAGATAGATAGATAGATAGATAGACAAACAGATGATAGATAGATAGATAGATAGATAGATAGATAGATAGATAGATAGATAGGATTCATTGGAATTGCTTATAGACTGTGGTCCAGCTAGTCCAACCACGGCTGTCTACTGATGGAAAGTCCAAGAATCCAGTTGTTGTTTAGTCCACGAGGCTGGGATCCTGAAGTAGGCTCTGAGGCCAGGGGAGGAATGGACTTGCCAGTGAGTGCAAGCAGGCAAAGAGCAACTTCCTTCTTCCATGTCCTTTCTATAGGCTAAGTGTGAGTTCTCTATCTTCCGTTATGTGTCTTAAGTCACACCATCCTCCTTAAAATATTGGCTCCGGAAGAGAATGCTTAGCACGTAGCTGATCCTCAACAGAGGGAGGAACGGAAGGCCTATGACTTGGTCAGCTATCCTCCGGCACCTCCAGTCTCAATAAATAAAGCACAAATGTCGATAAAGGCTGACAAAGAGAAGTGTGCGATTAGATGATTGGTAATTTTACTTAAGTTAGCACTTGCTGGTCTTGACTTTGCCATACACTGGAGGCAACTTCTTGGCAGGCCTTACAAAGAATAGTATTTCATAGCACCCAACATTCATCATTGAGTAGAAAAGTAAACAAATCTTTATTTATTACAGTGTTCCAATAAATAACACATTAATACGATGTGTGAAGGCCAGAAGCTACAAGTCAACCGAACAGCCTGACATTAATAGGGAAAACTCACGGCTCCTCTCGTAATTTATGGATTCGTGCAGAAATTGGAGCTCATTTCAGAATCAGCTCGAAGGGCTGTGGGAACAATGGTGGCAGCTGCTGAGAGGCTGTGCGGGCTCATTCTTCACTGTCAAATGCAGGCAGGACCCTTATTTAGTCCGTCTAGTTTTTCATTTCATTATCCAAGGCCTTTAACTGGTAGCCGGAGGCAAACTAGAAGCCTCACATTGCGCCTTAATCTAGAGTAGTAATCTATTTAAGAGCTTTTTGCCAACAAGTGACTGTTTGCTTAATTCTAGTTGTATATGGAAGGGGTTGGGAAAAAGATTCTGCGAAACAGAAAATGAAAGTATATTGGGTGGCTGGCAGAGGGAATCCCGTGAGAGCTGAGTGTCTCCCTATGAGAGCCATTAGGGCCCACTAAAGGTTTACGATCAAGGATTTGCACAAACTGGACACTCAATTCCCCCCAAAGTTATTGACATAACAAGGACAATGCTTTTTCATCCTTTCTTGAAGTCTGGTTTCAAACTCAGAAAAATGAGTCTGGGCTTTCTGTATGGTTTGTTTCCATGTATTAAGCAGATGAACGGTTGTCACTAGGGCCTTGCAGAAAGCTCAAAGGAAATTCTGTCCTGGGGCCCAGGAGCATTATCTGGTATTTGTTTTGGCAGCAGTCAATCCCCACAAGTGCTCAGCACCCATCACGTCATGTTCCCTCCATGTCTGCATCCTCCCAGTCTCCCAAGAGAGAGCCTGAAAGGTCTGTAGAATGGGGTTCCAGTTCTTTGCCCAGCAACATCTCCTTTGTTTCTCACAATCTTAGCCTAAGCAGCAGCATTCCCGGACTGGATTCTGTTACCACCGTCAAAAGGGAGCAGCCCACACAAGTACCCAGAGACAGTGCTCAGAAACAATCTCGTTAGGAGACGGGCTCCATGTTGTCTTTGCCAACTCATTCATGAGCCTAGTCACCGGGCAAATTCTTCAGCTAGTCCCGAGCAGCGTTGGTTGTACATTTCTACCAAATGGCTCTGGACCCATCGTCAGAGGGGACTTAGCAGCTGGAAAGGCTGTTCTTTCCCTCTCGCTCATGGCTCCACTCACAGTGGCCGAGAGAGAACATTTCCCATGCCCCTGTGGACTGGGAGTCATCCAACAGAGAAGCCAACACTTCCTTCAGAGGGCGTTCCTAAGTTCTCACGGCTTCTCCTGGCCAACATGCTATGTCTGGGCAAACAGCTATTCCCTGTGCATAGAGAGACCAGGAAAGTTCATACAAGAACCAACCAGAAGAATACCCCCAAACCACACACACACACACACACACACACACACACACACACACATGGACACGGACACGGACACACGGACACACACTAGGTGTGGGGGATGGAGAGGAGGAGGGAGAGAGGAAAAAGAGAGAGAGAGAGCTTTTTTAAAAAATCAGTCTACTTCCTCAGTCTTCAAAAGGTAAAAACAGATTCTGAATAGATCCTAAAACCAGTCTCAAATTGGACTTCAAGTTAGATTTCTCAGGTCAGACATATTGACACAAGCCCATCATTCAGCAATTAGTATGTGGAAGTAGGATAATCAGTTGTTCAAGGTCATCTTTAGCCAATCGATCAATCGGGAAATCACTGATCAAAATGGTCTCAGTCCCTGAAGTCATCCAGCCAGATCATCCTCGCATTCCACAAAGGAGTTCCTGAATGGGGCATCTCTAGGCAAATAAGGAGGACTCCACAACTATGCAAAAATCACTTGAAAAATATGTTTTCCTCAAGCTACTTGGGCAGTGGGTGATGTAGGACAAAGTCCCACCCCCATCATTAATTTGAAATAGTTAGAATCACTCTCCTGCTTTCCAGTGTTGTGAGAAGATTCACCATCTGTTCACCGGTGTCCATGGGAAGCTGGGCCCCTGGCGGGGGCTGGCTCTCGTCCCTCAAAAGATCAAAGGACCCCTCCTTTCCATTCTTGCCTCTTTTTGGCCTTTAAAATACCAGTCCCTTCCATTTCCTCCATCACACACACCAGAGGCGCCTCACAGCAGAGGCAGACAGATGCGCTTTCCTGGAAACTGACTTTCCCTTCCACCAGCACTTTCTCTAAGGCCAGTTCCCAGTGCGTCTGTGACGGGGTGCTGTGACGGGGTGCTGTGACGAAGGTTAGCCAGCGTTTCCACTGCTGTGACAAAATACTCAAGAAAAAGCAGCATACGAGGAGGAGAGCTTTGTTTTGGTTCAGTTTCCCTCCATGGCCAGTTTTTTGGCGCCTGTGGTGAAGGCAGAGCACCATGGTTGGGGTCACGGGGTGGAACAAAGCTGCTCACTCCTCATGGCAGGAAAGAGAGAGAGAGAGAGAGAGAGAGAGAGAGAGAGAGAGAGAGAGAGAGAGAGAGAGAGAAGGCTGCCAATGTCCTCTTCAGGGGCACATCTCCAGGGATGTAATTTCCTTCCACTGACCCTCAAATGGTTCTGCTTCTTCCTTAGAGCTGGTGCCCCAGAGTTCAACATGGAGGATAGTCAAGATCCAAACTTCACCGTGAAGACAAATGCCCTAAGAGTGTGCCCGCCATTATCACCATCCACAGGGCTGTGACCCAAACCGCCAACGTTTGCAGGAAGCTCCGCTGGTCTCTTCTTCCAGAATTTGTTTGTAAGAGTCTTTGTAGACTTGAGAGGTACCCCTTGTAGTGGCCCATCAATCCTTTCTCTCTTCTACAGCCTCAAGCCTTGAGTTTCCTCTGTCTATCAGAAAGGCAAAACCTAACACCTGACCCTGCTGTAGGCAGCCTCTAGCCACCCAGCACTCCAGTCACAAAGTCCCAGGCCACTTTTATAGCCTTGCTGAGCTTGCCAGAAGAGAGAAGTGAAAACCTTCCCACAACTGCAGGGAATGAGCCTGGCTGACCCCAGGAACCAAGGCTGGGATGACATTTTACAATCTTAGAGTTTCTCTCACTTGGGGCAACATAAGTTAACATCTCTGCAGCTAAAACCCACTTAGAGAATTTGGGGGTGAGAGCAAATCCACTCATTTTATGTGAGCAGCTAAACTAGAGTGGAAAGTACTCCAAGTGGGACCAGCTGCTGTGGGCCACCAGTTTCTGTCCCATCGGCCACGTTCTCCACGGTCCCCAGCTCACAGCTCTCCCCACCTGGCCCCTCTAACTGTGAGTTATTGCAGGCTGCAGTGGGGGTAAGGGAATTAGACCATGGGGGACCCACTGAAGTTTCAAAGGCACCACGTAAGATGTGACAAGCAAGGCCACGGCACACATAATCGATCATAAACAAGCCCAGGGAAAAGGGAGATTCCTTCCTGCCAAGATCCTTGGCCTTGGCAGAATTTGTGCGAATGAATCCAGAGTCAGATCCCAGAAGAGGAACAGAATCCTGCCCGGGCCTTTAAAGCTTTCAAAACTTCGATACTAATGTGACAAAAGAACACAAAGAACAGAGTGGCTTCTATTTTAAAGTCCACGGTGGTTTAAAAAAGGCTTGGCGGTTTAGAGGAGGAGGTGAGGGTCTCATGAGAGGCTTCCAGAGTCATCGGTCCCTGGATGAGTCCAGCAGCCGAGGAGAATCAGAAAAGTAGCCCTCAGGCAGTGGGCGATTCAAGCCCCCCCCCCCCCCGCAAAGGGCTTTGAGAGGAGATGGCAAGACCTTGGCCATCATGTTCAAGATTCCAGACTCAAAACATTTAGAGCGGGTGGTCCTTAGCAGGGTCTAACCTCCCGAGAGCCTCAGCAAGGGAAGGGAGTTGTCAGGGAACATGCATAGGCTGGATATCGAAGATGGCTTGGAGCTACAGAAAGTTCTGGGGCAGGAACGGGGGTCGGCAGGGGCAGAGCTCATTGGAGCAGAAGAAGAGCTATGGTCATGCCATGGTTGTCACACTGGCACCTGAGAAATCTAGACAGGTAATGGGAATGGAAGGAGCAGGAAGAGGAGCCGATGGGGAAATAGGAGACCAGATAGATCAGTGTTTGCAACTTGTATTTATAGGACCAGAGAAGCCATGGAAAGGAAATGTCCCAGAAGAAGGACAAGAGGACCAACCAAAATGGGGGAGCTGGAGCTAAAGATCCAGACCCGGGATGTGAACTGGAGCAGTTGGTGGAAACTGGCCAAAGCTGTAAGGAGGGATCCCGGGAGATGTGGAGGAAAGGCCAGAGCTCCTCAAAGTGAACTCCCTGGCAGCACTCACTGGCCACCCATGCAAAGAGCCCCAGGCCCAGATCTTCAGCCCACACAGCAACTTTGAAAACAAAAATCGGCCCCATTTTGTAGATGGGCCTGTGACACTTGTCCAAGTCCAGAAGTTCCAAAGAGGCAGGAGCTGGGGAAAGAGCCCAAGTGTGGGAGGTTGCATGGCTGAGTTCTTCCTTTCCAGGGCAGGTCCTCCCAGCCTTTGAACAAACGAGATGGGCCGGGGCTTGTTACTTAGTTTCCATTTACTAAGAACTTGGTATATATAAGTTTGGAGATGGAAAACTTTCCAGGTTCCAGGGAAGTTATGAAATCTAGGGAAATTATAAAGTGCACAGAGGTGGCTTGAACCTCAGCTCAGCTCAGTAAAAGCGTTGGAACCCAGAGACTCTGGAACTGCTGAAATAGATGAGCGGCCAGAGGCCATGGTACCCTGGGCCTGGTCATGTCTCTCTGGACAACAGGCCACGGAGCTGCTTCTGTGCAGTTAATGTCTGGCTGGCTCGGTTTTCTAAGAGTAAAATCAACCCCACTGTGCCCAGCACAGCACAGGAAGCCCCGAGGACTTTCATTTCTCCTTCCTACACCTGGTAAAATGTGAATGAATTTCCCCAGGGCCACCACCATTCATTCTCAGAGCTGAAGATAGAATCAGCCCCTTGAACGTCCTCACAAGTTTGGATACCTTGGAGGAGATTTGCTTTTAAATCCGTGCAGGGAACCACACGATGAGGCAGAGAGGACCTGCTGGCCAAAGCGCGGTGCACCGTCTTCATGACACTGAATCACAGTCAAGACTGTGCCGCCCCAGGCCCCTCCAGCCTGCTGTGGCCCGAGGCCAGTTGTTGCCAATGGGAGGTGCTGTGAAGAAATGTGGGGACGGACGGCTCCAGGGAGGCAGGCCAGGTTTCCTCACTCTTCCTCTGCCCCCCCCCCTTGTACAAAGATCTGCTGCGAGATTCTTTTACAAAGATAGACCCCAGCCCCCGTGGTAAACACATCGTTCCACTTATTAAAAAAAAATAATTTTCAAACACTTTCCAGCAACATCATGAATAGGCAGTCAGGTTAACTGAGATGGTCCTGTCCAGTCTGTCCTTGGGTCAAATAGGGGTGTCCTAGTGAATACTGAGAATTGATCTCTGTCCCACTGGAACCTGCCTTCAATCTCAGGAGTCAACTGCACTTGTAGCCGCTATAAGCAGGTGGAGTGTCTTCTTTCTTGTTTTTGGCTCTTTTTTTCTCCCTATCCAGAACAGAGTGGACCCTTGTCAGCCTAGACTCACCAAAGGCCTCCAAGCAGACAAGACTGGGACAGTTTTCCTCCTAGGGTGCTGTGTTCTGCACACGGTGATCTGCGCCGTCATGGAGGCTTTGTCTGACGGTGCCCCGGAACAGAACACTTCCCCATGCAAAACATAAAATCAACAAAGCATAGTTTTGAGTTGAATGAGTTCTGTCTTTCGTTGGTAAAATGAGCTGAGGTTCCCAGATTTTCCTTTGAGGGCACGAGACAAAGAATGTGAGGAACATTTGGGCAGAGTGCGCCTGTCAATCACACAGTTACGCTTTGCTTAGGAAAAGCCTGAGCCTCGCTGAGCACCCAGCTTCCTCAGCCTTGCAAGCAGCACAAGGCAGGTTTACCAGACACTTCCCTAACCTCTCTCCTTGCCCTCACGACTGACAAAGATCAACAGATTACAAGCCACTCTGTTTCAACGGCCTTTCCCCTTCTGCACACGAGGGAGATGAAACCCGAGTCAAGAGCATCTCTCAGGACGCACGACCAGATCTTCTCAGTCTTGCTGTCTTCTGAAATAATCCTTTCCCTGGTTCCAATGGCTTGTCCTCGGTTCACTGGGCCCCTTTCCCAGCTGGCAGTAAAGGGACTTGATGTCAGTCACAGGTGCAACTGCTGGGAATCAAGGCTAGAAGGAATGGAGACGAGGCCTGTGGGAAAGACGTCAGCAGGTCTGTCTGCTAGGAAGGGAAAGGGGAGGGAGAGAGGGCTTAAAAGTGCTATTTACTGTGAAATCACACTAAACTGCCAAGGAACAAATTTTAAGAAAACCCCAAGAGGGTATAGAGGTGCAGGCACTTGGGAGGCAGAGTAAGGTAGATCTCTGTGAGTTCAAGGCCAGCTCAGTATATATCCTGAGTTCAAGGGCAGCCAGAGCTACATGGAGAGAGAGAGAGAGAGAGAGAGAGAGAGAGAGAGAGAG